TATATTTCTGTGTTGTATTTGGAGAAGGCTTTGTGATGAGCTTCTAAAAAAGCATCCGAAGTCTTCATTATCCGTAATGGATTTATGAAAAACCAGAGCAGCACTTAACTCAAAAATTCACCATCCTAGGCCTTAAGCGAAAACACTCAAAGGAACTGAGTGCAGAATGAGGTCTTCTGGGGCTCAGCATGACAGAGGACCTGAGGGAAAGGTACATTTCGGTCCTATTGAGTAATTGCCTCTAAAGCCTAAATCAGGTGAATACTTGTCTGTGCTAATGTTACCATAGTAACTCAATAATCCTCCTTTTTGGTTTCTCTTCAGGAGATCCCTTTAAGATTAAATAAGAGGACGGAGATTCCTAAACAGCTTTATCAATACAGAATTATCTGGATTTCTGGGCTGATAAAATCTTGTAGAAACAAAAACTGAGGCAGTGTCTGTTCTCTAACGTATTATAAAAAATAAATTGTTTATGTAATGGGTAAAGCAAACTGCTTACAAAAGAAAAACTACACATTTCCATGATAAGTACAATCTAGTGGTATTGTGTGTCACAATGGCATTATTTTCTTAATAGTGGAAAGAATGTTTTTCCGAAATAGTTAAAATGAGAATGTCAATGAACAAAGGGTACAGACCACTAACTATCCTACGTATTTCCAATAAGCAAAAGCAAGCATTCAGAATCAATCATCTTAATGTCATTTTTCAAGATTCTGGAAATAAATGTGTACCAAATGTTTCTTTTTAAATACATAATTTTCAAAGGAGAAAGCACAAGTCAGGATTCCTTGATTCAGAATTCCCTTCTATGAGAATCAACTTATTTGATTATGCCTTTACTTTCTATAGTCTAGGACACAGTGTGCTTTTATCAAGTTATAAGGTTTTTGAAGGCAATCTTGTAGAATCTGAACTTCAGAAGTATTTGAGTGTAGGTTTATTTTGTAGTTGTTTCCTGTCCCCCAGGAACACCGCTCAAAACCCAAGTCCATCCTTGCTACTTTAGAAGTAAATCCAACTGTTTTTTCAGTTCATGATTACCTTTCATTTTGATTTTCACAGCTTTTTGTTGTTTCAGTTCAACACCCAACACATCATAGAGGGCCGTCAACTCAATTAGGGCTAAATGGCAAACTTTCTTCATGTCCTGGGGTGCGAGGTCACCAATCCTTGTGGTGCCTGTTTTGTCTTTTGGCAATCTGAAATTCTAAAATAAATACCATGAATATAGTAAAGGTTTACTGTACTGAATCCCTTTTGTAAGGCAAGAAGAAAAAATAAATGTAACTACAGAAAGAAGTTATACTCAGAATAAGTGACTACAAGCCACGGTAGAACTTCTCCAGGAAGACTGAAGAGCCATCCTGTCATAAAGATGGTCCCCAAAGCTGTGGGGAGTTCAAAAGTCAACAACCAAAGTCTGAAAGACAATGGAACCAGACGGTGTGCTGGGAGTACCCACGTCAGTGGCTCAGAGGACAAGAGAGACAGTGAGGCCAAAGCAGAAAAAAACTTCTAGTTCCCTGACCTTCAAGAACCAAGGAAAGTTAAAAGTCAAACCCTAACCATGATGGGGGTAGAGGAGGAGGAAGACTGAGGGGAGGTGAAAGAAGAGGAGGAAGAGAAAGAGGAATAGTAACCATGAGTGTGTGCTGAGAACGGGACAAGTACCCTTTACATACATTACACATCTTTTATTTGTCACACACACACAAAAAAAGACAAGTAAGATTAGTACAGAAAGGCTACATAGCATTGGGGGAGGGGAAGGGGGACAAAGGGGCAGCTAAGGGCAGGGACTTTAGAGCCAGAATGTCTACTAGTCATCTAGCCACTTACTAGCTGTGTGACTTATGGCAATGACCTAACCTTTCTTTCTATAAAATGGGAGGAGGAGGAGGAGGAGGAGGAGGCCACGTAGTTCAGAGGGCGGCTGTAAGGTTTAAATGCCCAGCACTTCCCAAGAGGTGGTTGCTATTACAGGTTGAGCATCCCTTACCCCCGAAATGCTTGGGACCAGAAATTTCAGATTTCAGGTGTTTTTCAGATTTTAGAATATTTCCATATGTATATATCTTGGGGATAGGACTCAAGATTAAACACATAATTCATGTATGTTTCATATACACATAGGCTGATGGTAATTTTATAAAATATTTTCACTAATTTTATTTCATGCACAGAAAAAAGTACTTATGTGTGGAATTTTCCACTTATGGTATCATGTCAGCACTCAAAAAGTTTCGGATTTTGGAGCATTTAAGAATTCGGGTTTTCAGATTAGGGAAGTTCACCTATATTATTACTTTTACCAGTGAATAAACTGAGACTTTAAGATATTACTCAGGACCACAGGCAAATAAGTGGTGCATTTGTTTTTTGCCTTTCTCATATACCATCTACTACCTATTCAGCCTCTTTTAACATTAAACACATTAAATATAAGAAAACAAACC